CATCCGTGTAAGACCCGACGGGCTCGTGGCGGAGACGATGCTCGGCCACGTCAGCATCGGCCAGGGCGTTGTCAAGGTCGAGGCTACTGCCGAGCTCGGGGGAGACAAAATCATTCAAAACGACGGGCGACACCTGCCTCTCTGGCAGAGACACCTTCGTCGGGTCATAGGGCTCGACCGCCCATGCAAGCATCTCGTAATCCGCATTCATTCCAGCCAACTCACGAAAAGAGGCGTGGCCACTGTGCACATGATCGGGCATGCCCGAAGCGATGGTGGAGAACAGGTGCTGGCGAATAGCACTATGCAAGGGGCTGCAACTGCCCGCAGCCTCACCCCCGTCACGCTGCGTCGGCACCAACAGCTCCTGCGGGTCACACCCGAAGAGCAAGTTCTGGCCGTCGACCGCCCCCTGCGCCGCCGACTGGACGGCGTTCCAACGCTTGAGGCGAAGCCGAGCCTTCCTCCCCGTCCGGCACCAGGGCGCTGAGCACGAGGAACGTCAGGAAGGGGAAAGAGACCGCGGCCACACCGATCCCCCGCTGCTTCTTGCCGTCGGCGAGGCCAGGCCTCAGGGCGACGCCTTTCAAAACTGCGGTCGGAGGAGACCCCCTCAGACCTCGCGCCAGCCATCGCGTCAGAGACGGGGGCGACTACTGGCCCCGCCGCCCCCGCTCCCTTCTACATGTCTTGGAGGAGGCCGAGGGGTCCGCCTTGGCCATCACGTCCGCGACGCCTGCTCCCCTGGCCTCCGATGCCTCCCGCTTCTCCTTCAGAATCACTGCCTCTTCGCTGAGCTCGGTTACGGCGCGGGCCCCGAGCGAAGGCACCGTCGGGGCCCTTCTCGAACACTCGCTGATCCCTAGGTAGTAGTCCGACCCCTCGTAGTCCTGCGCCTCGAGATTCTCTGCCGCGGCCCCACCGTGCTCGGGGGCCCGCCTCAGGAGGAGCACGCCATCGATAAGGTTCTCCACGTTGAGCCCGTCCACCGCCACCAAGAACAGCACCGCCCCGCAGAGGACCGCGTCCACCTGCCGCGGGCACGCCGCCATCGGGCGCGCGGCGTCGACAAGGGCCCGCTCCGTCGGGGGCCACGCCAGGAACCTCGGGCCATTGCAGAGAGAGTCGCTCCGCGCCAGGCCCCAGCGAGCACTCCCAGCTGCTCGAGCACGGCGGCGCCCCTGTCGATCACCACGAAGCCGCGGGCCCCCAGCCCCACAGACCCCGCAAGCAGCTTGGACTCCTCGCCGATGTCGTGGCCCCCGAGCGGCTCCGCGACGACCCGCGCCCCGCCTGTCGGGGCGAGGCGGGGGGCCCCAGGCGCAGGGCCCATGGCGGGCACGGGCGTCCCCACCACGGCGGCGGCTCCTGGTGCTCGGGCCGCCTCGCCCACCAGCGGGAACCCGTGGTGAGCCCGTTCCAGGTTGCTCACCTGGTCCGCCTCTGCTGGCAGCTCGTTGACCCTGGCGGGCTTGAAGGTATAGAGCACGCTGCCAAGAGCGGGAACCCCTCACGGCCACACGTCGACCGAACACGAGAAGCGGATCCCCCCCTCCAGGCCGCCGTTGTTGGAGCTCAACTGCCCCTCGTAGACGTCGAAGTCGGGCGACGCCGCCGCGAGCTCACCACTCTTGACGAGGGAGCCGACGAGCCTCCCGTCTAGTCCACCAGCGCCGTAGTGCACCCCAGCGGCCGATCCACGACCTGGCACGGCAGAGACTACGAACGAGACCACGTCGCCCCAGTGGAAGTCGTCCTTGGCCGCCTCCAGCTCCGCGCTCTGCTCCTGGGCCAGCGCGGGGGTGGGCGGCACCGCGGCCGCAGGACAGCCCCGCGCTGGCGGGGCGGGCACCCGCGCCCCCACAGATGGCGGCGGGGGTGGGCCTCGCGGCACTCGGGCGGCCGCCCCCAGCTGTCTGGTCCAGGCCAAGCCGGCGCGGAAGACCAGGATCACCACACCCTTGGCCCCCGCGCGCATCCACAGCCCTGGAGGCCGTGAAGGTCGGTGGCTCAGCCAAAATGACTTGAGCCAGAAAAGGACTACAGAGCAGAAACACACCCTCACGACGCTCTACCCTCTGAGGTATCAACCACCAGCAAGCAATTATAGGTTCTCGCCTAAGCGCCGCGTGCATTCGTTTTGAAATTTGCAACAGCTTCACGAATTGAAGGCGAGTGGTTTTCAACATGTGGCTCTCCCCTTAGCGCCGCGCACATTCGTCTTACACATGTGCAACCGCTTCACGGATTGAGGGCGAGCCGTTTTCAAAGTGGGGCTCTCGCCTTAGCGCCGCACACATTCGTCTTGAACTCTTGTAAGAATTTCACGAATTCCCATGGACATCGTACCAGAAATGCAGCCTTATCAGTGTGTACAAGTTGTGTTGATTCGAGCGTTACAGTCCCAGGAATGGTGTCCTGGCACGGTTCAGGATCGTCAATACGCAGCAATCAGGTTGATCCGTGGCGTTGGGATCCCGAAAACAATGTTTTGGCATGCTTCAGGGTCTCCAAACACTTGTCTTCCAACGAGGCAGTTCCCTCAGTAAAAATGAACCGCTGTAGGGGCCTATGAAGAGGGAGCTTGGAGGGAGGGTTTATTCCAACATCGTTGATGCCTCTTGGGTTTACACTGGTCCTCCTCCTCTTCCTCCTCCTCCTCCTCCTCCTCCTCCTCCTGCTCCTCCCCTCTACAATTGCTCAATATGAACACTACTTTCCCTCTTCCCCTGATGACGGCTTGAAAGTGGCCGACCCCCCCCTGCGTACTGTTTTTTTACACACAGGGTTCCCCGGAGTTGGGTTTTCGCATGCATTTCTCCCCATATCCTAAGATGGGGTTCTTGTTATTACTTGGACGCCTCCTACTCCCTCTTCCTCCTCCTCTTTCCTCCTCCCCTCCTCATACTCAGACTTACTCATACTCAGACTTACTCATACTCAGACCTACTCATACTCAAACTTACTCACATTCAGACATACTCATACACAGACTTACTCATAAACAGACTTACTCACACCCAGACGTACTCATACACAGACTTACTCATACCAGACTTACTCATACACAGTATTACTCATACTCAGACTTACTCATACCCAGACGTACACATACACAGACTTTCTCATACACAGACCTACTCATACCCAGACTTACTCATACACAGACTTACTCATACACAGACTTACTCATACTCAGGCATACTCATACTCAGACCTACTCATACTCAGACTTACTCAACACACATCAGATTTGGAGGATGTCTCAAGCGGGGCGCTGGTTTCAGCACCCCTAAGGGGAGCCGCCAGGGGTGGTTGCACGGGCTCGTTCGCGGCCATTTTGTGGGGATGTCTCAGGCGGTTTGCTTGTTTCTGGGCTCAACATCCTTCGCTTGGAGAGCAGATTGTGAGGATGTCTCAGGCGGGGCGCTGGTTTCAGCACCCCTAAGGGGAGCCGCCAGGGGTGGTTGCACGGGCTCGTTCGCGGCCATTTTGTGGGGATGTCTCAGGCGGTTTGCTTGTTTCTGGGCTCAACATCCTTCGCTTGGAGAGCAGATTGTGAGGATGTCTCAGGCGGGGCGCTGGTTTCAGCACCCCTAAGGGGAGCCGCCAGGGGTGGTTGCACGGGCTCGTTCGCGGCCATTTTGTGGGGATGTCTCAGGCGGTTTGCTTGTTTCTGGGCTCAACATCCTTCGCTTGGAGAGCAGATTGTGAGGATGTCTCAGGCGGGGCGCTGGTTTCAGCACCCCTAAGGGGAGCCGCCAGGGGTGGTTGCACGGGCTCGTTCGCGGCCATTTTGTGGGGATGTCTCAGGCGGTTTGCTTGTTTCTGGGCTCAACATCCTTCGCTTTCGGAGCAGATTTGGAGGATGTCTCGAGCGAGGCGCTCATTTTCACCCCCCAGGTGGGCCAGATTTTGAGGATGTCTCGATCGGTTTGCTTGTTTTGGTGGCCAGGCTCGTGGGCGCAGATTCTTCTCAGGATGCCACAGGAGGCTCCAACAGGCTCCAGGAGGCCCCAGGAGACCACATGAGGTCCCAGGAGGCATCAGGAGGCCACAGAAAGACTCAAGAGGCCACAGGACGTCCCAAGAGGGCCCAGGAGGCCCCAGGAAGCTCTAGAAGGCCTCAGGAAGCCACAGGAGGCCCCAGGAGGCCACAGGAGGCGCCAGGAGGCCTCGGAAGGCAACAGGAGGCCCCGAGAGGCCCCAGGAGCAGGAGGCCTCAGAAGGCAACAGGAGTGGCTCCAATCCCATGTGTTTTACGTATGCTCCTATCGATTGGGCCTCACCTGGAATACGATTCCTTGATGTTATACGTATGTTTCTATAGATTGTCCTTCTCCTGTGTAAGCAATCCTACTTGTTTTACTTTTGTTCCTATATATTGGGCCTCTCCTGGGGCACGAGTCCTTGGTGTTTTACGTGTGTTCCTGTAGACCCATATACAATATTACCTTTAAAACAGGATGCACATATGGGGAGCTCCACGCAGTGAGTAATTCAAACTGCTGCTCTCGCTGAGGCGCCGGCCTCATTTTCGGGCCCCGCTCGGTCCGAATCGTGCTCCCGCTGCAGCGCTGGCCTCATTTCCGTGCTTCCGCTCGTTCCGAATCGTGCTCCCGCTGCAGCGCTGGCCTCATTTCCGCGCTTCCGCTCGTTTCGACTCGTGCTCCCGCTGCAGCGCTGGCGTCATTTCCCGTGCCATGCCACGGCATGCAATGCAATGCTAGGTTGATGCTACGCTTTGCGGTGCTCTTCTACGCCATGCCATGCCGTGCTCTACAATGCATCGCGTACCCTTTCGGGATCATTGCCCTGCTCGACATCCGGCTGAGCGAGTGGAGAGGGGATCTGCGCCATGGTAAGGGATGGGAGGGGGGGGTAGGATGTCAGGTATGACGCGAGCGCACCTAGCTTGCCTCCTCCCCTCTCCTCCTCCCCTCGGGGCCCGAAAACCTCCGCCGCAAAGTCTCCTCGGGGAAACTCCTCCGCCAGACGACCGGTGCGCCCAAGCAGGCCGCTCGCAGGACCCTGTGCGCCCCCTTCGCCTTCGCGGGGGTGCGCTCCGCCGCCGCGCAGCGCGGCGTCGTCGCCCGCGGGCGGCGCGGGGGCGGCTCTGAGCAACTCTTGCGGGGGCTCCGACACGTCCTGGCGTCGCGAGCAAAAAAAAAAATCCAGCCGGGCGCGCCCTTGCTTTGTGCCTGGCGGCCCCTGGCTTCCGTGGCCCCTTGCCAGGCTCCCTCCGGCTTTCGCCCGCGCCGGCCGCATCAAACCTGCGCTTCGCGCTCCGTGCCCCGCGCGACTGCGCAGGCCGCGCTCACCCGTCGCGCCCTCGCCGCCCCACCCCGGAGAAGGACGGCTCTCCCGGCCAGACCGCGAAGCGCAAAGCGCGTCCACCTCCGAGCCGCTGCGCTTCGCGCTCCGCCCCCTGGGCGCCACGGCAAGGCTCTGGGAGAGGAGGAGGAGGAGGAGGAGGAGGAGGAGGAGGAGGAGGAGGAGGAGGAGGAGGAGGAGGAGGAGGAGGAGGAGCAGGAGGAGGAGGAGCAGCAGGAGGAGGAGGAGGAGGAGGAGGAGGAGAGGAGACGGATCGCGCTCACCCGTCGCGCGCTCGCCGCCCCACGCTCTAAAAAAAGGGCGGCTCGCCCGGCCAGGCCAGGCCGCGAGTTGCGAGAGGCGCGTCTGCCTTCGCGCCGCTGCGGAGTGACCTCTGGGAGAGACTCCTCGGCAAGGCTCTGGGGCTGCATCTTGGGTTTACGCTGGTCCACCTCCTCCTCCTCCTCCTCCTCCTCCTCCTCCTCCTCCTCCTCCCTCCTCCTCCTCCTCCTCCTCCTTCTACTCAGAATACCTCAATAGTTTTGGGCCCCCAGGCTACAAGGGCCCCCCAGACTACAAGGGCCCCCCCCCGGACTAACAGGGCCCCCCCCCGGACTACAAGGATCCCGCCCCCGGACTGCAAGGGCTCCTTCCCGGACTACAAGGGCCCACCCCCCGGACTACAGCCTCCAATGCATTTACCCTTAGGAACACATTCCCCCCTGGACTACAAGCGCCCTCCCCCTGGACTACAAGGGCTAAAAGGACCCCCCCCCCGGACTACAACTATTGGCCACCCCAGAACTATTGAGGTACTCAGAATGCTCCTCCTTTTCCTCCTCCTCCTCCTCCTCCTCCTCCTCCTCCTCCTCCTCATCTGCCTCCTCCCCCTCTTCCACCGCCCCCTCGACCTGCGCGCTGCCAGGGCCCCCAGAGGCACCTAGAGGGCCAAAAACCGCCGTACAGGCTTAACTAAAAACTATGCCTGTTCCTAGCGGCTTCGGCATATTCTTCGGGGAGCATTGAAAACCGAATTAGATGTTCCGAGCGGTAGTTTTCTGTGTTTTTGTTGTGACTGGTACGGCCACGCTGCCTTGGGGGCCCGTTGAAACCAGCCTCGACTTAGTCTGGGGGTTGCACTGTGTACCCCCCCATGGCTGGCCAACTCGCTTGTCGGTGCCCCCGTTTAGCTGTAGCGCTTGTGCAGCAAGTCTGCCTCGCCGCCGACGGAAAAGTGTGTACCCCCCTAGCCTTTCGGGTGCGCCGCAGAGGTGGGCCAGGAAGAAAGGTTTAACGCAACTTGTCCCGAGGCATGTGCGCGGACGAGGGGGGGCAGGGAACGTGCCGAGAGAAGAAGCGTGGGCCATGAAATCCAGGCCCCAGAAGAAATTAGCGAACATTCATGCCCCCCCACCCAATGATCAGTGTTGGCGGTGGGTTGGATGAGTTGCACTTCGACCGCGGTCTTCCCCGCGCGTGCCAACTTTGAGTTTTGGGAGGCGGGGGAGTGTTCACTAATTGTTTCCCTCCGCCGTCTGGAAGATTTCATGTCCCTTTCATGATATATCCACGCACACACACACACTCCCTTTATACAGTTTCAGCGTCGGCGGCTAGGCAGGGGACGTCTGCGCTGGCGATGGATCAGGCCTGAGCGGGGGTGCTTATAAAGCGAAGTGTGCCACCATGCAAGAAGGGGAGAAGGAAGAGGCGCGGCCGAAACAGGGGCGGACGGAGCGAGCGGCTCACGGGGGGGGGGGGACGGATCGCTCCCCGAGCGAGCGGCGCGGCCAGTCCCGACGCACACACACACGCACACACAATCACACACACATACAAACACGCACGCACGCACACACACGCACGCACACACAATCACACACACACACACGCGCACGCACGCACGCACGCACGCACGCACGCACACGTACACATAATTACAATCACACACGCACACACACACACACCTTGTCCCCACTCCCTTCTTGGACGCCCCTGGGCATCTCAAAATCGGTCTCAAGACTCTCCCGGGGTCGATCCGTCCTGCCAGCCGCGGCGGCGAGCAGCCCCAGACGCCCGACGACCTGATGTTTTTCCTCTGCGGCCCAAAAGCTCCCGACCACTTCCCCAGTGGCACAGAGGGGAACTGAAGGGGCCAAGACACACACAACATATACATACACACGACTCCCACGACCCCCCTTACAGTTTCCAGGATAGTTTCTGAGTTTTCGTCATCCCCCCACTTCCCATACTGTATGTTCCTACAGCTTCCTGGGGGGCGACGATTCATTGTGTCTGTGCGTGAGTGAATGTGTATGTGTGTGCGTGTGTGCGTGCGTGCGTGCGTGCGTGTGTGCGTGTGTGCATGTCTGCGTGTGGGCGCCTGGGCGCGTGGGCGCGTGGGCGCGTGGGCACGTGGGCGTGTGTGCGTGTGTGCGTGTTTGCATGTGTGCGTGTGTTTGTGTGTGTGCGTGTGTGCGTGTGTATTTTAGCATTCACGAAGACTGTACATATACATCATGTGGGAGCTAGGGCCTAATACACTTGCCAGTTTACGTGGTCATGCATGGAGCTGGGTCTTAAGTAACACGTTTGCCAGTAAAGTCGCATTGGATTTATCACCGGCGGTAGGCCTGAGGGAGCCCAGGTCGTCGTCCGCCCGTCTCAGCAGCAATTTTTGAGATCGAGCCCCGCTGGGGTTTAGGCCGGCGCTCAAACCACCAATTGCCTACGAATACGGTCCAGTGGTGCACACAATTGTGGGTTCCAGCGAGCGTGCTCTGTCTCAGCGTTGGAAAAACAAACAACAACATATATCACGGTCCCGCAGGCGATCGTAGAAGGAGGACTCGAGCGACCGGGGGGGGAACTTTGCACACCTCATCGGTCTGTCTGCAGTCTTTCTCGTCTCATCGGCACGTCAAGTGTGTTGGGAGCGGCGCGGAGCAAAGTTATCAGCTTTAGTGGACCGCAGCTCCCCTACTACATATTCCATTCATACCATTATTCGACGTATCTCATCCACATTATCGTTACGTGGTTAATCTTCTGGCATACCTGCTACAACTCAGCCGAAGTGAGAGCAACATGCCCGAAGGTGTGACTATCGCGTCCCAGGCTGACGATCATGTTAAAGCATTCCTTTTGCGATTTCCTCGATTCCATCGGCAACACGGGATCAAGCTCCAGTATTCAGTTGACGCTTTCTTAGCGGGGATTTGCTCGTGGACGTCACATATCGATATCGCTTCGAAGTTCTCGAGGACCCCGTCCCGTCCAGACGGACAAGCACAACTTTATGCTGCGTGCCTATGGCAAATCTTGGTTCCATGCCCGAGCACTTATTTTCTGGAGGCTCTCCAGTTTGCGTGAAAGGACCTTTTACGTTTATCGCGTGATTCTGAGCGACCTCTTACTTCGACGACGTACGAGATGATATTATCACTGTCCGTGTGTATTACGCTCATTTGGTCTCGCCTCCGATGGACTCGCGGGAGACGGTCGCAGCTCCGAGCTTTGCGTCACTGTCGGGGATTCCCTGTTCATGTTACAGAAGGTCTTTCGCGAAGGGGGTCCGCGTCGTTTATCCACACAGCTGATCTATTCGGTTTTGTCCTTCTGCAAGCCCGTTGCGTACGGAATTTAGGCATAGCGCACCATAGAGAACCGTACAGTTTTATGTATCAATTGGGCTTGGATGTCCATTACATCGGCAGGGGCAACTTTCAGAGGCAGACTGGGGTTCAGACAGGAGGAGTTGGACGTTTCAGAGAGCATTTGAAGAATTTCCATCGGCTTCAATCAGGTACTCCTGTGAAGGAGCAGGCTAGGTATCGGACCCTGGCGCCGGACTTCCGGATGCACTTCTTCATGGTCTTTCTATGTTTAGTTCCTTCTGGACTGTCATCGTCTCGGGAGGCTGCCTACATCCAAGACTGCCGTCCTCCAGCGAACGGGCTTCCTAACACGCCATTCGGCCGAGTGCGGAAGTTCCATCATTCCAGAAAGCGGAGGAGCCGTCGTGAGCGCCGTCACCCTTTGGACATATCGCATGACCAAGTGGTTCATCACGGTCATTGGATGGAGGCTCGCCTAGAAATTCTTGCACAACGGGCGTTGGGGCAGGCAGCTTATCTCGCGCGACGCCGCTTCTGGAGATCCGTTCTGCGCCGTACGTATTCAGAGGTCTACGACTATTTCTTAGCTCAGGATTACAATGTTACACGTGTCCAGGGGCCGATTTGTATTTATGATGCGAAGTGCACGCTGCTCCTCCTAAAATGGGGCTCTTCTGACCCGCGCCGTACTGTCTGGCAAAATGTGTTCAAACGTCGAAGATATGGAGTTGATGCTGCGTTTTTGTTATGGCTAGTATGCATTATTCTACCTCACTTCTATGATCGCATCCGCCTGCAGGGCAACTTATCACAGTTCTTACGGCTTCTTGGCATCAACAGACCCGGGCGGTCGTTGATTCAGGTGTATTCTGAGCCTGAGCGTCGCCTTGTTCAACGCTGGCTACACCGTGTACAGCAATATGTGGCCCCTAAGCGGCCAGCTTGGTGTGCTATGATTCGTAAGTCCGTCCAGGTTCACATTTTACCTCGCATCACCTTTCGCCGGGCCTATTCTCGAATAGCACGGCGGCTGCAGAAGGTCCAACCGATCGACCTCGCGACGCTTACCCCGAGTGAGTACGAGGCGGCAGGCAAGGGCGAGGACATGGTTAAGCTAGAGCTCAACGGTCGCCTTGCTCTTCCATATTCGGGGGAGGAGGCTCGGTCGGTCTGTCGCTCTTCACTTGCAGCGTGGCTCACACGACACACGCTACC